AGTCAATTAGGCCTTGCGCTCACAGGCTTGGCAGAATGCTGCTATAACAGTCACCATGGGCAAAGGCAGGTTTGAACAGCTAGAAATCTGATCATCTGGAATGATTTTCAGTGGCATTTGTCTTGACTACCTCAGGGTGGTTTGGCCCCATTGTTCCCATGGTAATTACCATTCGCGACAAAGCGCTTGCAAACTGCCACTCTCAACTCCCTGGCTTGAGGGGACTTGTCCACCTGCAAGAAAAGGGGAGCCTTCTGGTGTGATTTGCCCGCCCGGCATAAAGTACACAACGTAGACAGAAGGCTCTAGCCCGGCCGATGCTGCATTTGGCTTCCCAACTTGCAAACCTTTACTCAACGTTCGACAGCATGGAGGAGAAGGTTGACTCCAATCGGCGCGAGAAGGCCGATCCCTCATCTCAGAGTACATGTCTGAAGCCTTCGTGGGCCACCCCATGACTTGCGCTTTGCATGTTGCACTGACCTTCAGCACCTGCACCGATTGTGCAAATCAGTAGCGGTTATCAGAATACTGAGTTCAAGAGGCAAAGAGGTCAGAGTTGAGTACCTCAGGAAAAAAGGTTGATACTGACACTGTAATGCCTCATGCTGAAAACATGCCTCGAAGTGGTTTTAAATTTTCGGATGTTTGACGGGTATCTACCTTTGTCCTCGATGGTTTGCTCGCAAGGGATGTTTGCAATTGCAGAGGGTCTGTTGCATCGTTTTCGAGTGCTCGTCCCGCTAAGGCCGCTAAGGAAGCTGATTGGGCACAGATGCTAAGTAATTTGGAACAAGTGAGCTTCTGATTGTTCTGAGGCCGCACGTTCAGCGCAAAAGGCCTTTGATGCGATTAGCCCGGAGCCCCAGGCTGATTTCATGTCTTTGAAGAGCCAGCTCTGGCCAAAGCTAACTGTTGGTCTATCTTGGCGTCCGCTTATGTACAAGCTGGATTCTACACGTCTGAACGCTTACCCATTGTCAGCAACACATGCTTTGGTCCATCTTGTCAGAGGAGCCTCTCCCATTCAGAAGCAAAACACCATTGCTTGTTTGTAGAAGATGTTGTAGCCGCCTGCGATCTAAGGCCTCAAGCCGTTGAATAATCCCAAACCTATCGGCATGCCTTCTCAAGATCTAAAGGAACTCCTGTCAGAATCCCTGATTTCGCTGGAACTTTCACCAGACCCCGTGAAGCCATCAAAACTCAAATGGAACGCGAACTCAAGATCGCGCGGAAGCCGAAGAAGTACCTGACTTTGCTGCATCGCCACTGATTTTTTGAACAGTGATTGCAGATGGACGGCTGACCTTACAAAAACATTTTGGCAAATGGCTGCGAGAGCATTCAAGCGTTTACCCGAACCTTTCAGAATCAATGCTTTTCCTTGAGGAAGATAGCTCCAGTTTGTGATGACCAGTGGAAGTCTGCCAAGCCCCTAAGTCCTGTCTCCAAATCCAAGGTTGGTTTGGAGTGGTAGTGCAAATCCAAGCCCCGTATTATCAACCTCTAAGCCGACGAGCCAGACGAACCATGACCATAAGAGATCTTCATGAGGTCTTCTATCCCTGTCATTCTGTGGCGAGCGGACCTAACAGCAACCCTCGCTAGGTTATTAGGCACTGAAAACCAAACGACCTGAAGGTGGAGAGGGACGATCACGTGTCTCCTTCGAGTCTTTCCGGAGGCATCTTGGGAGCTTTGTGGCCTGAGCCACCTGGCGGAGGTTTCAGGTGTGCTGTGTTTGGGGGGTCCCTTTCCAAAGGGGCTGTAGAATTTCTCAACGTCTCAATTACCCACCTTGTGGGTAACGTCAAGGAGAGCAGAGTGCAAGGCTCGTTAAGGAGGTCGAAACCTTCGAAGGGCCGAGGGAGTCCCATAGTTTCAAAAACTCCTTTGCCGGTGTCTGGATCCTTGGACTTTCAGTCCTGGGCTTTTTCTGGGCTGGGCGAGCAGGTTCTGATCGTACGATTTTTATGCAGCGGCTGATCGGGAAAGCTTCCAAAATTACAGCCCGAGGTTGAGAGTTGTTTTTGTGCACTTATGCCTCCAGGGTTTTGTTCTCTTGGTTAGGCGATATTTACGGATGTGTTCCTACTACGGGGCTAATAGGTGAATCCACATGGACTATCACAGCAAGCCAAGTGAATCTGATAAGATGCGGTTAAAAAAGGCGAAGAAATCAAATGTTGCACCAGGCCGCAACGTCAAAAAGATAGTGTTCCTGTACGGTGTGGAGTTTCTTCTCTCTCTGATCAAGGGCTAGATATGGCTAGATGACTAGCAGTTCGTCCTTGCCTCCAGCGTCCGTGCAACACCTGAAGTTGTGTTTTGAGCCAGATGTTTGACCCTGACCCGAATTCGTGACTCTGGGTCTACAGCCTTTCTGGTAGATCTTGCTTCAATTGGTAAGATACTGCTGGCGAGTCTGGGATCATGGGTACACTAGGAACCTCTCCAACAGCAGCCGTCCATGAGTGGCACACAGATTGCCAAATACGATATGTGATCCGAGGACGGACGTGCACTTCCGGAGATTCTGAACTTTGCATGCTCTTCCTGCATTTCGGGGAGGGGCTCCCATCCATTAACATGGCCCGGGATTCCTCGCCCGAGGTGTTGCATGTAACGTGAACTAAAGTGGGATCTCGGGCCATTCCGAGGCAAAGATCTACTGACAGCAGCCTGTTGCAGCGTGCCTTTGACCATCTACTTGTTCGTAAGCTGAAGTGAGGAGGATGTTGCACAAACAGCCGGGCGTCATTAGCCTGCATCTCGGTTTCACAGATAAGGCAAGGTTCAATGGCTGCAGAGGGAGGATGTTCTGGGAGTGGCCCGAGATGTGTCTACTGGTTTTATGTTTGCGCCCCCAAGGGGCAGCTTCATCGTGAACACGGGCTTATCTGGCCATTCCGGCCTTGGACCATGGCTAGGATCTTCAGCGCTGGACTTGTAAGGCAGGATTAAGCCTGAGTCAATATCCGCTCGTATTTTCAAGCCTCTGGCCCGCATGCTTTCCTGGGAGACAGACAGACCTCGTCAGCAGGAAAGCACAAAATTTTGCTGCATCTGATAAATACAAACTGCATTTTGTGGTTGAGGACTCGAGGACGCTGATTTCCTTTGATACCAAATTGCTTCAGGTTTCTCTGCGCAGGATCGAGAGTGATGAAGGAGTCCCTACTGAGAAGAGAGAACCAAAGCGTCTAGCAAATTCTGACTTCGACGAAGACGAAGACATACACGTGTTGAAGTGCAAGGGATTGACCGGCTTCTGGGCACTCACCGTTTACCTCAGTTCCAACATCCGAACCAGGCAGCACCTGAGCTAAGCCTGTGTGTTATCATATCCGTGTGCAGCGTTCACTGGATTAGCACACACACCTCTACAGCCGCTCAAAGACATGACTGCCAGGGCCCGAACAGGAGATCCCGAATTTCTTTGTGTAGACGCCTCCTGGGTGCATCGATGGCCTTGCTCGCCGGTGCCATCGCTCTGTTTGGAGCGAGGTGGGTACCATCCAAGGTCCGGAATGATGCACTGGGCAAGTAGGCGTTAGATCACTTTAATGTCTCAGGAAGGCCAGCTTTGACAGAGACTGCCTTTATGGCCGTTCATGTAGCACGGATTCCAGGACTTGAGTGGTGGAGCAGTGCCGGCTCGAGCAAATGTCACAGCCGCTTATGCATCTTCCCAGTGTATGATGTGGTTCTTATCTTGGCCGGGGCCTGGTGCCCTATGAGCAAAGTCTAAGTGAAGACTGACTAAGACTATGGCGGCTGTCGGCAGCTTTCACATGCAGGGCGCGCAAGGTTTGATGCTTTGCCCCCGATGGGACAGCAGTTTGGCACCTGTCCTCAGCTGTACCAAGTTGAGTTTGCCATGTGAGATGATTTCCCATGTTACATCATGCTGCTCTGCAAGCAGTCTGAACATGAAGGGATATGAAGGGATCGCATGTTTGTACCCAATTCATAGGGGACTGGAGATCTCTGATGGCATGCCCCTGCCACGGCATCAAGACTGTGGCGACCAGATTCGCCTGATGGCGGGATGCAAAACCCGAGAGACAAGGCTGCCAAGAGCTTAGGATCTAGGACCGACATTCTTTGGGTTTGTTGGGTTTTGTGAGCCCTCCCCTGCATTGGTTGGATGTGCGCAGTCGACGCACCCAACCCTGCGGGATTTTCCTGCGCGGGAACCGTGCATTTGTGTTTGGAAAAAGATCGGCGCTTGTTTCCCCAGTTTCAATCTTGTCTAAGTTTGTGTTGGGTGTGCCTGTGGGACTAGATCCGCTCAAAAGAAGACGCTTTTATATTGGGACTACCAACTCCACAGTCGCGAGTGGGAGAAACTAGGATCCTGCCGGAAATTCCTGTGCTTGGCGCCTGCGGGACCGCATTTCTGGTACAGAGGAGGGAACGGCTTAGGAAACTGCAGCACCTGCTCGGGACTAGTAACACAGGAGACGGCTTTAGATGACTAAGCATAGCTGGCTCAAGAGTATAGTGGCATTGTTGACTCGATTTTGAAGCAAAGCCATCACCTGGCGCAACACGCTCGTATCGCGTTGCTGACGTTAAGTTTGAGAGGGACCCAGGCTTGGAGATTCTAGGTTGCATGTCTTGCAGCCATTATGGCTCAGTTTTTTAGGTCTTTCGTCATGCCCGCGCAGTCTCTTGATGTTGTTGCTTGACGGTTTTTGATCGTCGGGGTTTGTTCACCAACTGACCTGTAACTGAGTATCTATGCTTGGCTGAAGTCTAAGGCCATTGTAATAGGATTCATATCTGCTGCATCAGTCGCTTCACTGCAGGAATCAACGTCTTGTAAACCATCTCGCCGCAAGGACTCCACAGACCCTTGCATAGCTTGATTGGGCCTGGGTTTGATCTTCATGACAAGCGATACAGCAGTCGCAAACAGCAGCTCTGACCATAAAGGAAGGAGAAACGAGGCAGGGTCAATTTGCACTGCTTGATTCGCTGTTTGCGCGCTTATGGAGTTTACCGACGTGCTGGGGCAGTCGCTGGCGCAGTGGTCGCCGAATGCAAAGTACGTAGCGGCTGCAGACAAGCATCTTTGGCTGTCTCAGTCTTGGCACATAAGGTTTTGGCACAGGAAAGGCCGATTGAGCATGTGGCTCCATGCTTTCGCACTCATGGCCGAGCAAAACGTAGTTTAGGGTTCAGGATTCTCAGCCTTGATAAGGCCATAAGCCCCAGCAGCCCCAGCCCAAGGAATCGGGTGCTAGTGCGCGAGCCTGACTCCCTGAAGCTTGTCCAAGCACCCTGGAAGCAAGTCTCACGGCACCCTGTTCGTCGGGTTCAATTATAGGGGTTCATCGATTCCTCAGCTACCCATGACTCCCATGACTTAGTGCTTTTTCTTAACATGTGTCCATGCGGTCGATGGGAGTCAACGTCGTTTGTCCTATTGCTGTAATGTGGAGAGCAGTTGGTTCCGCCGCACTCTCCGTCCAAGAGCGGGTTCACAAAGAGCCTATTTCTGCATAGGAGCCCGGGAGAGCGCAAAAACGTTGCTTTCGCTGGTAGCATTCTGGATACCCTCAAGGCAGACGAACCCGAATCCTCATAAGTCAGCCGTCCGAGCCTTGTATTAGTGTGGGCCAGAGGCCACACAAGGGCTGTGGCAATTTTTTTTGGTGTCAGAGGGTTGACGAAGCAAGCAGAACATTGGATGTTGGCATTGTCATTGAAGCTGGAAAGGCTACCACTGACAGGCCATGACACTCAGCAGGCGCATTATGCTATAGTCATCATGCTTGATCAGCTGATCGCCGATTTCAGCACCTCAGACTGTTTGCAGGTGCCCTGTGCGCTGGCTTGGATGAGTGATGCTTCATTTGCTTCTACACATGTCGGATACAATGAAAACCGGTCCAGTAACTTCCTACATGCTGTTGAAAAGTGTGAGCGCGAGCACGTTCGCGAGAGAAAAATCTTAGTCAGGGTATTCACCTTTGTTCTCAGGTTTTCGGTCCAGGCCAAGCAAAGCGACACCCCTTCTCAAAATGATGTCTGCTTCAGCAGAAGCCATGGAAAGCAAGAAGGCCTCCTGAAAACGCTATCGCGTCTAGTTGTCGCGCTCGCGTTCCAGCTTGTGGAAACAAGGCATACATCTGCATTGACAAAGTCGAAAGGACTGCTGTTCAAAGCCAAGCTTCAGCCAGAGTCCCAAGCCTTGAACTGCGCAGGCTGAGGAGTTGGGGATTTTCGATTCAGGGCTACAGTTTTTGACGGCACTAACTTTACACGCATAGCCCCAAGCACAAACCACATGGGGACTGCCAGAGCCCGGGCCAAGCCTGCAGGATCGAATGGTCACCAGATTCGCAGTTTTTGCTGACGCAGGTGGGCATTGAGGGTCCCCAGCTTCGGATGCCAGAGATTTGGGCCCTAAAGCCCATATCGGTTTCCCATTGGCTTGAAGAACCAAAAGAGTTCTCACGTGAAGTCCAGGCACTTCGAATTGAACTCGCAATCCAGACTTTAGGGGCCATCCTTGAAACCTGTGCCCATCGAACCCGTTCCATCGGGGTCCACGAACGCCTACGCCTTTCAGCCAGAGACCCCACCTTGCTGAGTTGCCGTGAAGGAACCTAGACACGCTACAATAAGGAAACCTTATTATTTACTGTATACACCTATTTTGGTAACTTAATTTGAGTTCCCGAAAAGCAACGCAGCCTGTGAATGTTTGGAACGGAGGTGGCCAGACAGGGCCTGCTGCAGATTTGGAGCCTCAGGCAAGGGTTTGACACGCATTTTCCTCCGGGTTTTCCACAACTCTTGTGGTCGGGATTTCCTGTGCACTGGCAGTGTTTTCCACATCGGGGTCTGAACTGCTAACTGGTTTGCAATCACACTTTCCCTGGCTTACCTCGACGATTCAACTCCGTTGAGAATTGTGTTGCACGAAGAAGAAGACCGCCAGCCAGAGATCCTGCCAGGGACAGCGAGTGGACATGCCGAATCTACGAAGGCCTGGCAGGCCTGGTTTGCAAAAGTGACAAGAATGCCATGGCTGTGCTGATCATCTCGCTGAGCAAGCTACATCCGCCTACTTCAGATATTCAGGGCCGTGACCCGTAAATCTCAGGATTGTGATTGTTGTACAGTAGTGTACCAAATAATGTTCCTGCTTCATCATGCGCTCACACCGGCTTTGGTGCCCTCGCAGTTTGGGTTTAATCACCAAGAGAAGGCCAGTGATTTTGCAGCAATTTTGAGACATCGACGTGGCAGCTGTTGGGGTTTGGAGTATGAGCACGGGAAAAAGCCGAAAATGACCAAGAACAATCAGAAGCTTGATCAGAACGATGCTCAATGTAGGCATCGCCCATGCACGCTGGGGACCTGCAGCTGACCTGGTGCTCGTCGCAGTGGACTTCCAGCTTCCTGACTTGTGGCCAATAATGATAACGTGTTTTTGAACTATCTGGGAGCCAAAGGCGGGGAGTGTCAACACTGGTATCATTGCGAGGGGTTGTTGTTGTTGTTGTTCGACGCTCTGGTTCAGTTTTGGGTTTGCCTCAGGGCTTTTGAGACAAGAAAGTATCCGTTGTTTATCAGATTGTCGCGACGGTGCGACCCAAGCGCAGAGCCAGCGTAGGCACGAAGACCCACAGGGCTCGTTCCTGTATTGGCTAACCAACCTCCTTAAATGTTGCCAGAACGAAAAGCCAGGCTCTATCTGTCGATTTGGCCACTGCAGGAGGGCGCTAGTGTCTGGCACCCAGTGGCTGAAGAGCCATGCCTGTAGGGTTTTTCATGGTCGGTGGATTCGGAGCTTCGAAGTGCACGGTGCATAGCATCCAAGGTTGTACCAGAAAAGTCCAGGCTAAGGGCATTAGCAGGCACCAACAGATATCCAAGCTGCAGCGGCTCGGGGCACAACTTCTACTTCACGGTTTTGCAATGTTTTCGCGTTCCAGAGCTTGGCATGTGCGGCGCCGTGCTTGAGCAAGCTGGACAAGCATTTTTCCTCTCACACTCTGAGACTAATTAAAGAAGAGGAGCCATGCACAGCTGTGTTGACAAGGAAAGGCCGTGACCCGAGAAGATGGGGAGCTAGGTACCAAAATCCATGCCCCTTGCCTAGCGTGCCTCGAGGCCAACGCTGTTTTCTCAAGCCTTCGAAAGACACCCGATTTGAATTTCCCCAATCCCTTCCTAGAATCTCTAATTCTTTTGCTTGTTTTCAATTGCAAATCTAGGATGGAGGGCAGAGTGTAGATTTGCAGCAAAGGATTGGTGACCGTATTGCCCATGTTGGGCGGCTATATAGATCGAGAGGGCAACTTCATGACGGCCTCTGAACGTTTGCATCATTCCTGGAAAGCTTGCAGACACCAGAATGTTCCTCCTACGGCCTCATTGAGGCAGTACAGATCCGCTTTCCGAAGTTTTCACGTCGTGGCTTCGCCTTCAGCCGCGACCGATGCTACCAGACGAAGGATGAAGTAACATAATGATATGCCAGGACTAGTCAGATTGGTGTCAGAGTCTCTCTTCGGGCTTCATGTTGAAGCTTTGAACGCATGTCCCGAGGCGGTTCGGGATTGTTTCAACATTTTGACGCTGGAGCTTGCTAGTTCAATACATAGGGTCTGAGTTTCCAGGTTCGGGGTGGTTCCGGGGTCTGGGCTCGGGCTTGGGATCTTGGGTTGCAGATTCGTTGCAGTACGCGGATGAACACCTTCATCTTGTGCATGAGTTCCGTAAGCTTGCATGTGTGTGCTGCGTCCTAAGCTCCCTGACCACAAATCCAGATCCAGGCTGGCTGGCAGTTCTTCGGAGGAAGGATTGCAAGGACCTGTGGGAGAGGTCGGTGTTCTGGGTGGGGACCTTATGGTGTCTATCTCGGAGGGGCCTGAGGTGAACAAAGGATCAAATCTGGATGATCATGCGCTCCATCCTTCTCTTGTGCAGTTCCGGCGCATCTGCCGATATTCCTTTCTGCAGACTGAAGGGTTCCCAAGAGGGAAATCTGCCAGGATCGTCTCGGCATCTACAACAGCCAAGAGAGCTTCTCTCGGCTTACTGTGTCGCTGATGCACCTGGCATGGACTTTTGTGTTGGAACTGGCCCCAGAGATCATCGCAATAAGGGTTTCATGAACATTTTGCAGCTCCTTGCTGCATGGTACCCATGGAAGTCTGCCCCGCATTCCCGGTCCTCATGTGTCTGCCTTCAACGGCATGTATGGGACCCTTCTGCAGATTGTGAGAGATATGCAGGACAGGAATGAGGCTGGACACTCCTGTGCACGGCTCGGGAACTTAACGCTAAGGATGCTGCTCTTGCTGGGGATGCTTCAGATCTAGCTTGGGCACCAGATGACAACACGCCGCTTGACCTGATCTCACGTCAATGAGTTGAGTGGGGTTTCTAATGCATTATCCATTTGAATAGTGAAGCAATCCGGGAGCATAGACCGCTATCCAGTTCCAAAGCGAGTGGCGGCAGTGACTCAAATCCCCGCACCCGACTTGCTGTATCTTGCCTGAGTTCACTTGAGTGGAGACCAATGTGCCGGAAAAGTGCACGGTCCAGCATCAAACTGGAAGAATGGCAGCCCTCTTTGCTTGCTTCATCTATGGGAACCCCGTACAAGGTTAGCAAAAAAGGGGGCGTCAACCGTTCACTTTGAAGCAAGGATTCTTGTTTGGGAGCGTCCAGCGTCAACGCCTTGGTGCCGGATGTTCCTTTGCACAATTTTTAGATTTGAAGAAGGGGGCCAGGATGAGCTCAGCTAGCGAAGGATTCGGGGATCAGGGGTGCCACAAGATGGGTGTGGGCGGCTAGGTCTTTGGTGTGTTGGACCAGTCACTTTTTTTTGGGGGAGCCGAAGGTCGAGATTTAAGGGCATCAGCATACAACTAGAACCAACAGGACACCACTGGCAATGTAGTAGTTTTTTTTTTGTCTGGTGGGGCAGTCGGCGCACACAGGTCAGCGATGCAATGTTAAATGCTGAGCAAGTTCTTTTGGTATCATGGTGGTTTGTTGATTGTTGTTTCGTTCGGCTCACGTATTCCCCTTCGCACCATTTTGGTTCGGGGATTTGAACCGCTGTGAGCTCAAAAGAGCGTGTAGTCCGGTTTTAAGCCACAAAGTGTAGGAGTTCAAGCCTTTCCCCTTGTTGCTGAGGTATTCTTTGGCGGGTGAATGTCTGGCGCAGGTTGGAGATGCCTTGCCAAGGTGCTCCAGCTTACCTTACAAGGTTCTCAGGGGGCATTGGTTTCAGTCTTTAGGGCTATGTGTCGTAGCTTCCATGATTTCCTGCCGGGTCTGGAGGCACGACTGGGACCCCTGCAAGGACTTGAGTTTGGACATCGTGGGTTTGGATTGAGTACAGTACGGGGGATTCCTCTCCAAGCTTCCCCCGGCGTCGCTTTGTGTCCTTCACAGGATCCATCATCCCTTCAAACAACTCAGACTAGCAGGAACTTGGAGGTGTGAGACTTAACCAACAGTGATGAAAGTCTGACACAGTGCAGTTGAGACGCTGCGGCTTGCAAGCCCCCAACACGAAACCTTGCATGCCGCTTTTAGTTCCATCAAAATCTGAAGGTGCCCGACCGGAAATTGGGCGACCAGCTTCTGAGTTGTGAAAAAGCATTCACTTGGGTCCAGGTCCGTGGCTCCTTCGCCCTCTACGCAGCTACTGGCTTCTTTGGGCTTGGATGGACAGCTGCAGCTGCAGCACGGCAAGCAAGGGTCTTGTCCAAAGCGAGGGATGGTCTGTGGATGGAATTGCCTTAAACGTTCTTAAAAACACGCTGCAGGGAGCCCTGGTGGTGCAAAATCGCTTCCACCAACAACATTTGGATGGTAGGGTTTTTGTTTGAGGCTCGCGAGAGCTATGTAATTTGCATGCTGGGGTGCTGTGCCTCCCCAGGGTCAGTGCCGTGAGCCGCCACATCCTTACCAGTTTGGCGCACAACCTGGCCACCTGGATCCACTTGGGCTAATCATTTTGGGGTCTCCACCGCCGTTGCAATTATGGGAAGCCTTGTCATAAAAAGTGGAACAGGTCCAGAGTTTTTTTGAAGGATCCGTCTGCCACCTGAGGTCGTTTCGTAATGTTTGGGTTGAAAGACAGGGAAGCAGTACTTGCGGGTCATGCTTGTTTTGATGTTTGTTTTGGACAGGTTCCATGGCTACACGTTCTAAACCTGCAAGGCTGCCTTATCCTTCAAGAGCTTAGAAGTCAAACGCTGTAACATAAGGGTCTAGACGATGCATCCAAGTCCTGGACCGCCTTTATCATGAGGCGCAATATACAGGCATCGCCACGTTTTCATGAAAGCAGTATGAGGGACTCAAGTTGGAACAAGGTTTTTATGCATGCTCTTGTGGGGTCCCTAGAAACTGTCGCTGCAGTATGCATGGGCGGATCCTATGCCCCCGTCCATGCTATTGGTGCTACGGCTGCTGCTGCTGCTGCTGCTGCTGCTGCTGCTGCTGCATCTGCTGCCACCGCTGCCATCTTGCCACTGCCAGTGGTGCTGGGCAAATGCTACCGCAACAGCTACTGCAGTTAGCTCATGATTGTTGTTTCTTATGAGCATGCTTCGTCTGAGCTGCTTCTATCACTCTGCAACCTTCTGAGGCGGAAGCCACAGTGCAGTGTGAGGATGGCGAGGTCTGGACTTAAGACTATTGAGCCCTGAGGGTCAGCTGGAAGTGTGCTGTGCTTAACCTGCCAGGTGATAGCAGGTGCATTGTACATGGGGTATAGGTTTCTGTGCAGCTGAGACTGCCAAGCCGTGTTAGTCCCAGATAGGAGTCCTGAAGATGCCTGAGTCAACTCTTCTTGATTGGCGCCAGTTAAGCAGATATCCATGGCCATCCAATTTCCTTTTTCGACGCAGCAGGTATTCCTGTGGGAGGAATATGTGGAGCTCACAGATGGTGTTCCAGTTGGGAAGCACAGGTACAAGAAGATTCAGGACTTGGTTGGGCTGGCAAATCCAAATCGTTTGCAGGGCCTGCCTTGTGCATCCAGGCGGTGTTTCCCCAAACGAACCCTTGCATGTGGCACAGCCTATGATCACGAGTTACGCTCTTTTGCCAGTGGAACTCCTTTCTGCAGGCTGATTTTTCAGGTAGCAGCTCTTCCCACACTTTCTCAGACAGCATGGCGGCCCGCCGAGCGCCTCAGCTGCTGAGCTTCGCCGTCTTGGCGGCGCTGTTCGTGTGGAACACGGCCTTCCTGCCGGTTGAGGCTCCAGCCCCTAAGCAAGCGGCCGCGGCGGCCGCTGCAGCGACTTTGTCTGTGGCTCCCCTGCCTGCCCTCGCTGGCGAGCCTCCCAGCGTCGGCATTCACTGGTACTGGGACTTGGGCATCGGCACGATCCACGGTGAGACTGCCAGCATTGTCATTTGGGTGTTCCTGGTCTGCCTCATCTTCGCTTTGGCTGGCGCGGGCGGCTCCAGCCGCAAGAGTGCAGCGTAGAGAGATGTAGAGAGCTTGCCTGGACCAAGACTGGTCCGCCCTAAATTCTTGGGGTGACGTGCCCTCTCCGCAGCAAAAAGTTCGAGCGGTGTTTCCCAAGCTACACTAGGTCGTGTGTGATGGAACAGCACCGCAGGGGCGCACAAATTTGCCACACCATTTTTGCAACCATAAAGGCAAAAGACAGGTGCTACAGTAGGTGTTTGTACCTTCGATCTAGCTCACCTGATGCTTATGCAGTTGTGCGTAGTTTGATGTCATGTGGTGCTCTTTATGGCAGGCCAAAGACATCCGGAAAGTCTGTAGAAAAGGGAGAAACTTGATGCCGCCAGCTTCAAGTTCGAGTCTGTTCCATGTGAATGCTCAAAACCTTGCTGGCATCGAGAAATAGGAAGCTCAGCCTTGTGACCTCCTCCTCAGACAGCATGGCGGCCCGCCGAGCGCCTCAGCTGCTGAGCTTCGCCGTCTTGGCGGCGCTGTTCGTGTGGAACACGGCCTTCCTGCCGGTTGAGGCTCCAGCCCCTAAGCAAGCGGCCGCGGCGGCCGCTGCAGCGACTTTGTCTGTGGCTCCCCTGCCTGCCCTCGCTGGCGAGCCTCCCAGCGTCGGCATTCACTGGTACTGGGACTTGGGCATCGGCACGATCCACGGTGAGACTGCCAGCATTGTCATTTGGGTGTTCCTGGTCTGCCTCATCTTCGCTTTGGCTGGCGCGGGCGGCTCCAGCCGCAAGAGTGCAGCGTAGAGAGATGTAGAGAGTTCGAGCTACCGAGGTTCTGCTGAGCGCTTGTTAGCGGTTTCTGCAAGCAAGCACATTTTTCGGAGGAAAACAAGGTGAGCTGCAGATCGTCTTAGGGGAGCTGCCATAAGTGCTGGCATGTAAATGATGCTAAGCTCCAGCCAAAATTGTCTGATCCTTCCGCGTAACTCACCTACCATGAACAACTACACAGTCTGTTTTGCTCAGAGTGGGAGAACCATGGCACAGGACCCGGGAAGCTTCCTGGAGGAGAAGCCAGTGCCGGAGGCTTTGGATGCGGAAGGCATCCCCAGGCACATTTCTGCTGCTCGCTTGTTGTGCAGGCTACGCCTATCAGAACACTTGCTTCAAACATCTATGACTATTAGCAGTGTTACCTCGCCAATCCAGAGTCCCGGATCACACCCACGTGCTGCAAGTGGGCATGCCTTACCTGCTGCCGGCCGTTTTATGGTCTCACATAAGAAGGTATCAGCTGTCGAGGCCATGAGCAGAATTCAACGTGTACTGCGGCAGGCTTTTTTTTTGGCAATATGACAGGTGCATAGGCATAATGCGACGGAACTGAGGGGCTCGCTGGTAGTAGCTGCATCCCTGCTGCGCATACTCTACTTTTATAGTCCTTTTTCCGGCGCAGAATTCCTTTACGATCCTATCTGAGATCCTGGCTCTCATGCCGCCCATTCCAGGCAGGGCATCACTGTGGCTGCTTGGAGCCCAGACGAGCGCTTCCTGGCCACCAAGCACGAGTCCTTCCCCAGCGCCCTGGTTCTGTACTCACCCTCCAAGCAGAAGATTAGGATTAGGAAGCCCATCTTGACTCCTTGTGCGGTTTCGGGAGGGCTTGGCACCGAGTTCGCGCAAGCTTGTTTACACGAGTTGTGCTCCAACATAGAAGTCACTTAGAAGTGCGTGGGTATCTGTGCCAGGTTGCCGCAAATGGCAGGCTCTTGCTGTGCTCATGTGTCAGGTCAGTGGCTGAGCGTACCTTCAAGGACGGTTTTAATCAGAATCCGGCAATATATGCCAGATGAAAAGCAGGTGTGCAGGCTTACAACCGAGAGGCCATGAAAGTTATCGGGGCATGACACTTGCGACAAAAAGTGCTCGGAGTATGACCCTTGCGACAATATTCAAAGTTTCTCCATGAAAGTAGAATGTAAAATCATGCTTGAATCAAGCTTTCAAATTCATGAGAGGGAATGTCTTCTAGTCATTGGACTAGTGCCGCAGAAGAAATTGCAACAACCTTTATACGAGAGAGGATATCAAGGACACATCCAGAGGATTGAGCTGTTTTTCCATCAGTGATCACTGAGCAGAACTCGGCTCAGGTGTGGTGTGGATTTGGGATCTTGGGCGGCTGGTGCTACATTCCGTGCTGAGGCTCCCACAAACGGGCATGGTCAAAGGGAAGAAGCTGAGATAGAGTAGCAGGAGAAATCAGCAGTATTGAACGGTGTGATGTGATTGGGGGGCTTCTCAAGAACAATAGGTCATGCGCAATGCTTACTCAGGTTTCTGGGCACCTTCACAAAACGAACGTTTTCACGTGTGAATTGCGGCTCTGCCACAGTCAAGCGATGGGGTTTGTGATGTGTATCAGCCTGTGGTTTATGCTGGATTCAAATTGTGTTAATTTTCCAAATTGCTGGACTCGCAGCTTCGGCTGTGCCCGGCCGCTCACTTTCGTCTTTCCTGGCGTTCCTGTACTGAAAGCTGACTTGACCTTTTGTTGCTCGGCAATGTTGGCTTGAGCCACCCTCCTTGCTTCAACCCATGAAGCATCCCACTTGGCATATTCTTCATACATCTTGTGGGCCCTTGCAAGAGGCACCGTAGCGCCGTGGTGACCTTGGCTTGGGATCCTGCTGCGCGAGGTGTGCAGAGCCGGCTGGCTGGCAGCAGCCGGTCCGCACTGTCAATCTCCGGTCCGCTTGTGAGGTCGTATGGGGGTCTAGGGACACAAGCGCTTGTCCGCGTACTGGAAAAGACGTCTTCAAGAGTAAATGCAGGCATCGCAGGAGGTTTTGAATATCATGAGTTTTCATGAGTTGTTGACTGGGGTTTCTCAGCAGCTGTTGTCCTACCACAGCCAAGCGCTATCAGTTCATGATTCATTTATACATCACCGGACATAACAAAAAGAGGGGAGGAGGGAGCGATCTGAAGAAGAAGGATTGAGCCCAAGATGGTTCGCACTACTCTAGTCTGATTTGATGGCCTGATGCAGTTGCTTGAGCATCTTGCCGCTTTGGCATTTGGTTTTTAGTTACAGCCTCAACAGGATGATAATGACAATCATGCCGACTGACGTGACCACAGGGCATCGCAACCTGGACCGCTGCTGTTGATCCCCTTTACTGTTGTGCCGCTGCTGCGGTCGCTCCCACTTCTGTAGCTATTAAAGCTATCGCTACTGGGGCTGCCAGTGCCCTATTCTTGTGTTTACTCAAGGTTGTTTGCGTTTGATCTCTGGACACTTGCTTGCTTATGCAATACATCCCCAAGCCACTATGCTCAAGCTTAGCTGTGCAATGCTCTTCTCACATAGTAGCTTTGCATGTAGCTGCAATTACTT